GCTAACATTTTTGAGAATTGTTGCTCCCCAAACCCAACGTCAACCGAGAAGTGAGCTAAAGCATGTTAAAGCTACAAAAGGAAAACATCGAGCTTCTGACTTGAGCTTACTGCGGACGGTTGCGAAATCCGCTTCTCGCACCTGGACACCCTGGTTGAAACCAGAACGTTGGTTGGCATTGACCGTACGTTGGGGAATCAACTCATTCCAGATCCCAACCTCCTTACCTTATGGTAGGGGACGCCCCCCCCCCCCTACCCACCCCCTTCTGTTAGGGGGCATCATTCCAGGTTGCTTTTTGGTGGTTCTACTGTGGATGGACAATATCCAACCACCCTTCAGAAACTCTGGTTTCTGATGATTCCCCGAGACGCAAATACTGTGGATGGACGAAATCCTGCACCATCTAAGAAACCCTGGAATGATGATTCCCCTTCCCAACAAACAATGGTTGCAACCATGGTTTCAAAGTGGTGCGAAATGTTTTTTTGTCCATCCACAATAGCAATGAACGTGGTTTCACTCCCATGGTTTCCATTCGCGGTGCGAGAAAAGGCGGACGACTCGCAACCGTCCGCAGCTGGATCCGGGTCGAGTCTTAAGGTGGAGGCTGCGGCAAAGATCTGCGGGAAGCTCTCGGAAGATGAGGCGAGAGAAGCGGTGGAGTCGGGGGGGAGGGAGGGGAGGGAGGGGAGGTGGAGGGAGCCCGCATAAGCGCTAAATTAGGTCTTATTTTGGCTTTACTAAGGGCTTAAAATTTGGGCTCCCTCACCCCCACCCCGGAGGTGGATTTGGGCACAGGTCGCTGGGCTGGGATCCAGTGCTTCGGGTGGGATCCGGCCTTTGGTGAGGGGAGGGCTTGGTTTGGCCGGGATGTGCTGGTGCTGGTCGCTTCTGGTGGTGCCGCTGGTGCTGGTAGTGCCGCTGGTGCTGGTGCTGCTGCTTCTGCTGGGCCATCCCCCCCCCCCCCAAAGCAAAAAAATGGTGGGTGGCACCCCCTGTCGACATGCGAAAGGATCCCTTGTTTTGGGAAGCACGTCGGTGAAGCTTTGTCTGGATCGGGCATGCTACTTCGAAGGGCCCTTATGAAATTGCGGTCCTATGCTGCCTCAAGGTGCAATTCTAGGGTGAGCCACATGAGAGAACCGCGCAAACCGAGCTCGAACATTGTGAAATCCACGCCTCATGCAGGGAAGCCTCATCCAGACTCAGCCATCCTTGGCGCTCTTTTCTGAGTTCGTGGACTTCAAACTTCTTGGGAAGATCTTTTTAGTTGTAAATGAACCGTTTGGATTGTTTTTTTGCCAATCCACTCAGCAAGTCATTGATAGGGGTCCATTCCGAATGCACAGGAAGTGCCGGCCCCCATGACTGCCCCGATGCTGAAATGTGGGAACTGTGAAAAGCAGTGTTCCTCTCCCTGACAAGCAAGGAAGCCAAAAGCTGCGCTCTTTTTTGTGGAGCATCCACTTTGGGGGGGACTAAGTTGCAGAGAGTTCTTTGGGTTTACTAATCCTGGGTTCCCATTATTGGGGGGGATAATCGAAATAACAGGGGTCCCTGGTTGCCAGGCGGCACTACCCATACTGTGGATGGCTTTCCAAAATCCATGTCGCACCACTTTGAAACCATGGAGTTGAAACCATTGTTTGTTGGTATTTGAGGGGGAATCGAATCATTTCAGGTGGTGCGAAATGGATTTCGCCACCATCCACCCACCCAGCATTGGGCAGCTGAACCCGTTTGCCAGTGGGATGGCCCCAAGCACATTTGCCGCCTGCTCTGAGTGGTCCTGTCTAGCACATGCTCTTGGAGTACTCTTTTCCCCAGACACCCCTGGCACTTCCAAGGGAAGACCCAGACCCTCCATTGGACACCCGAGAGGGTCTCAAAACCTGGCTGTTTGAGGGCCCAAAAAAAAAAGGAACGGTTGGGTCAGGACAAATGTGGCCAAGGGACCCAAGCTCCATTTTGTCAGAGCCATCGACCGATTCGCTTCCACCTTGACACCCAACATCATTGTGGCAAGTCGTGACGTTTGACCAATCGGTGAGAGAGCAAGGCCACATGGCCGTGTCCATATGTTTCCCTTTGCTTCCATGTGCGTTTCAGTTGTTGTTGTTTTTTTGTCCCCCTCTTGATTTTCTACAGGGAGCCGATTTCACTACTGGACATATTATTTCATTTTCCCAGGGGATTCGAACAAAAGTTGTTTTTTTTAAGGGAATCTATCACTCTTGGACCCATGTGTTTCCGTTTTTTCAAGTTTCTTTTTGTGTTTTTGTTTGTTTAAAACAAAGAATTATAAAAAAAAAGGAATCTATCACCATTGGACGTATGTTTTTTGTTTTATTCCAGGGGCACGAAAACGCAAACTGGCGGTTTTCGAGGCCCCTCCCGCTTTCGCCCGAATTAGGACGCGGCCGTTCGCCGGCATGCCGTAGCAGGCGGGCAACGGTTCTGAAGAAAAGTTTCAGTTGGAGATGGGGCCTGCCTTTGTTTTGGTCACCTTGGCCGAAACAAAAAGATGAAAACCGGGTCAGAGTGGAAAACACGGGGCCGGGGAAAAAAAGTCAGGGTGAAAACCAAAGGCTTCGAGGTGAGAAAGGTGCCATTTTTTTTCTCACCTTGGCCGGAAAAAAGAGAGTCGGGGTGAAAAAAAAGCAAGGTGGGAAAATAATATTACCCATTTTGAATGGATCTTGTTGGGCCTTTTTTTGTGATGAGGGAAGACGCATGTTTTGAGGTGGGTGGGGCGGTGTGTTAGATGAGGGGGGGTTTCTCCTAACTTCCCCAGAATCAGTTCCCCTTTTTTTAAATATTTTGTTGGGTTCCTTTTGTTTTCCACTACCCATCAAAAAATATTTTGTTGCTGGGGTCCTGATTCCAGCCTAGTTAATTGTGTGGCCATGTGTGTATGGTGGTTTGACTTTGTTTTATCCATGTTCGGCTTTTTATGTTGCCTTTTTTGTTTTGTATGTGTGTCCGTTTTCTGAGAGTTACGGTGGATGCCCGAACATGTTGCATGCAAACCACGCCCGCCCACAAAGCCATGGGAAATTGCGGTAAATCAGGGAGTTCCCTGGTCTCTTTAGCGATATTTCGGGCATCCAGCCTTTGTATCGCTCAGATGGAGCCACGCAAAGCGTTCATGGCAGTCAGTCTGCTTAAAGACCCAATCCCATTTGTTCAGTGACTTCCTTGCTCCCCTCTCTTGGTAGATTCTCACATGGTTTCCACCTTCAAAGGGTTCCATTTAACTTTCTTGGTTGTACAGGGCTCCTGAAAAGATACATTTTGCCAATTTGAAACATGGCTTTTTCCACCAAATAAAGGGACACCACCATTTACAAGGCAATGTTCAGGTGTATAATGTAAGGATCCCTGCCACTGTAGGGCCTTCTTGACCCAACACCTCCCTTCCGCAATAACAGCATCCATCCCAAGTTCAAAAAATAAGTCCCGCGCTTTGGATAGAATTGGGATTGGGTCTCTCAGCCTTGAGTTTCACGGCATTTAACTACCTTTCAGGGTTTGGACGGAGGGTTGTGGTTGATCACTCGGGCTTTATCCAACCACTTCTGTGATAGGGGATCCCCTCTTTGAATGGCAAGGTAGTCTTTGGGGGACCTTTTTTCTCGTATCACAGAAGTGGGCATTTCCCACAGCCCTGGCTTGGACCCAGTGGTATAGTTTGTTGTTGGACGTTTTTTGCAAGTCCACTCAGGAAGTGATTGGATTTGCAGGTGCTTGTCTGGAGCAGGCTGTCCAAAGACTTCAATTCCAGCCGAAGCGAAGCCGAAGCCGAAGAATCGAACGCGAAACTTGGACAGGCGCCATGTTCTCAATGACCTTCTTCAGGGCTCCAGAAAAAGCCACCTCTTCCACCACCCGGCAGTGTTTGCTCCTTTTCGGGCCCGGGGGGGGGGGTAATGCGCAGACAGGGTTTCTTGGGCGGTTGCAGGGTTTCATGGAAAAAACCCTTTGTTTCCTAGTTTTGAACCTTTTAGGCCACCTCGCAAGGTTATGCTCTTGGACCCCTTAAAAAGGGCAGACAAACCGCTTGCTCTTTTCCCACTTTCCCGAGGCACCAGGCTTGCCGCTTTCTAGCTCAGTGCTAGGAAATGCCATTAGACATTAGAATCCGCGAAATTAGCTACTTGTGAGCAACCGCACTTGGAAGTTGAAGCAAGATGTTTAAAAGTATGTGCGAGTTGGGAAATGTTGAAATGGCTCTGTGCGGCCTTTGTTTCGTCCAACATGGGACGGAGTTGTTCTTTTTCCAGACCCCTTCCCTCCCTTCTCATGCTCTAGCCTTGGTCAGGGCTGTTCAAAGGCAATCCTTAATCCTTACCTGGGGTTACGCAAGGAACCGGTCCCCTTTGTAGTGGCTGTCCTATAGGGATTATGGAAATTCGGATTGGCCAACCCTATATCTTGAGTACAGCCCCGTTGGTTTCAACGGTTCGGTGCGGCAAGCTCGCGCTAGAAAGCGTGGAGGCTTCCTGATTCCTCTCAAGGGATTCTGTCAGGATGCTGTGGATGGACAACATCCACTGCGCATCGGTTGATGAAATGCAAGCCGGGAAAACCACCTACCAAGCGGTGCAGGAGTTTGTCCATCCACAGTATGAGCATGATTGTTAAGGCTTCGAATCTACCCGAAAGTGAGCATGAATTCGATTTCACCAAATTCTGCTCAAAGGGTCCCTCATTAAGTATGACTCCATATATTCTTCGCCATTCTCCTTCTTTTGGATCCTCCAAAAGTGGCAATCGTTTAACTGGATTTGGGGGATAGCCAGTGATCCTAGGTGTCCTTTTGAGGCTATGTTGGTAAAATAGACCGTTTGTACTGGTGTAGACGTGGTTTCATGCCATCCATTACCAGAGAAGCCCGTCAAGTTGTACACGGTCACCAAAATCCAGTTTTTATGCCATCCATTTACCCGTTTACCAGGGAAACCCGGCTTCCGCCCGCCGAGCCCCGCGCGCGCGCCATGGGCGATGAGCATTGGGCCGCTGGCGTCCGCGAGTACCGGGCAGAGGCGCGCATTGATCGATGTTGCCAGGTTGCCCAAGTGAATCATTCAGACGGAAAGTCACAGACCATAATAATTACGGTAAATTCAGGGGCTTCAAGCACAACACCATGGAAATGTTCAGTAAATTTGGAGGTTCATCCACATGGTGACGGTAAATGAGGGAGGTTCCTTGTTCCCTACTTGCACCAACCGTAGGCTGCCACTTGTGATACCCTCCGTTGCCCAATGCAAAGCGACCGGATCTGACCTCTTGGTTTTCCCGTGGTGTAGACAAGGTCCCAAGAGGTGGTCACCTTCTATTCTCCATGCAGGTTTCTAGTACCCCGTATTTCACCTAGGTCCCCCAGTAGTGCCCTTTTACCCCCTTTTTGGCGGAGGGTTCCTTCTGGGTTTGACCTGGGGAGTTTGCCGAGAGAGGGTTTGACCTTCTGGGTTTGACCTTCTGGGGAGTGAAAATTGCGTGGGATTCGAGGCCCGAAAGAACGACCAAACCACCGCCGGCCTGGCGTGCTTCGAGCAAGCCGTGCGCCTGTGCCGCGCTGGAACCGCCCCTGTTTTTTTCCCCCATACGGACTCATATATTGACATCCCCCCGCTCAAAAATGGAATTGGGGAGGGGGGATTTCGACCCCTGAAGTTCGATTTGTGGTTCCATGTTCCCTTTTATGGGGAAGACTAGATAAATGGAACTGGGGACCCCCCACCCGCCTCCTCCTGAAGGTAGGGGGGATATATTGACTTTGGATTCGGATTTAGGGGTTTCCGTTGGTTTTACCCTTGACTACCAACATCTACCAACTAAAAACGCGGTGCACCAGTTTGAGAAGCTGCCATTTGTAGGGGCAGTTCCACAAAGTCAAGACCCCTCTCTGAAGTGTCACGGCCCCTACTGCGGATGGACGAAATTTTGCACCACCTAAGAAATCCTGGAATGATGGTTCCCCTGTAAATACAAACGAGCAATGGTTTCCCATGGCTTCAAAGTGGTGCAGGATTTCGTCCACAGTATTTATCAACCAGGTGTTTTCAAGCCTGTGTTTCCATTCACCTTCAGCGCTGTCTCATACATGTGCTAGATTGATGGCTAGGTACCATGCTGCTTCCTGCTCATTGCAGGAAGCCGCAAGCGGATGAGCGATATGCAGTTTGTCTCATGTGCCGTTCTTGCGCAAGTCCTGGTTACAAATGTTCAGCCGCAAAAAATGCACTTCTTCAAGGTGAACTGTACGTTCACATGTATTCCGCCTGCAACTGTAGGTGGAAGTTGAGGACTTGCCACGGGCAGGCACTTCATGTTCCTTGTTTCTCTTGGTTTCCCTTGGCTTCTTTTGGTTTCCCTTGGCTTTTTTTGGTTTCCCTTGGCTTCCCTTTTTGGTTTCCCCTGGCTTGGGTTCCCTTCACTTATGAAGGGGTTTCCTTCAGATATGGGTGGCTCGCTCGTATCTTTTTCGGGGACTCCCCAAAATGGTGGTATTCCTATGGGTTCCTCTTCGAAACCAAAGGGAGGACCGACAAAGACACCCAAATGGGTCCCTTGCAGCCAGCAAGCAACAAGCCGTCACTTTCTTGCAGGGCTCGTGCTTCTCAGATCCAGGGTAGGGCAGATCAACCCCCTTTTGAAGGGATGCCAAAGAATGCAAAAAATAGCTTGTTCAAAGCGTGCTTAAACCACGGCTTTTGTGAACAACAGCCAGCACCATGTTCTGTTAATCTTCAAATGGGTGTGCCTTTCTTTTAGGAGCCACCCAAATGTGCGCGAACTGCACCTATTGGTTGGGTATGCTCTGATTGTGGAATGCCTGAAGGATGGTGGTTCTAAGGGGAAGGGGATTCCTAAGGCTCCCTAAGGAACCCTGCAGAACCCTACAGAACCCTACAGAACCTCCAGGAACCCGAAAGGAACTCTACCCACCCCCGCAAGGGCACCTACCCCCGAATGGAGATTCCATAACAGAGGTGCATTTTGCTTGGATGTTAGGACTTTCACTTTTTGCCAACTAATGGGTTTTCCATTCAACCCACTAAAAGTTAGTCACTTTTAGCAGGGCAGAAAGCAACCATGGGTGGTGGTCCAAGGGGGGATTCCCTAACGCTCCCTAAGGAACCCTAAGGAACCCTAAGGAACCCTCCACCCCGGCAATGGTAAATGGTACCTACCCAATCGTATGGGATTCCACAATCTGAGGCATAGGTGTCCTTTTAGTTGTTTTGCTTAGAAAATAGAAGGCCCTGGTGTACCTGGTGGTTCAATCATCTACCAGGGAAACCCATCTATTTTCCAAAAAGGACACCAGACAATCTGAGGTCCGTGACAGACCAGAAGGACCCAGCCCGGCTCCTCTTCTTGGCGACCCTTCTCTACCGCGCCGGGCGGCACCAAGAGGCGGAGGCTTACTACTACCAGGCAGGGGGGGGGGGGCTGCTGGGAAATGGTATCTTTAAGGGTATCCTCAAAACAGACCTGCCTGAGAGACCCTGGAACTATGTTTTTCTTTTCTTTTTTGTAAATGCCAACAATGGCTTCCCATGGTTCAGGATTTCGTCACTGATTTCGTCCATCCACACTCATTTGACAGGATCTGATAGGGTTCCCCTGAAGTGTTTGGTTACCTTTCAATGCCAACCCAAGGTCCGAAACTCGAAACATCACCTGAGCGAAACAAAGCAAAGGCAATTGGAGGGTAGGGGGCAGTCCCAACCACAAATGGGTGCCGCTCTGGTATTTCTTTACATGGATTTCGTTACATGGATTTCGTTTTGATCGTGGCTCATCTATTCGCCAAAACTATTGAGTTTCCCTTGGTGGGAGTAAGGTCTACGGGCAATATAGAACAGGATGGTTGGATCTTTAGACTTTAACTTTTTGGAAATCAAGGGGTTTTCCACTAAACCTCCAAGAAGTTAAACTTTTTGCAGGGGGTCAGCAGCAACCAAGAGATTATCAACGAGCGAGATCGATTGCTCCGAGATCCGACTCCTTCTTTCGCAAGGTGCTGGACAGCGCGCCTTTGTGTGGGCATGGCTACTTGGAGCTGGTGCTGTTCCTCGAATCCTCTGGGAGGCGAGTTCGGGTTGCGGATTCTTGGTCACTTGCCCCAACAAATTGTGTGGGGTTTCCTTAGGCGTCTTTGGAACCCAAAACAAAAAGGGACACACAAAAGACAGACCCTTGAATCAAATGTCCGGGACATGGGACAATTTTGACACTGTCTTTTGCTCTTCCTGTGATGTGTCATTTGAAAGCGAATCGGCCAGATCTAAAGCGAATCGGCCAGATCTGACAGTTTGAGAAGCTTGGTCCTTGGCTCCAAAAGGTGAACGTTTTGTTTGGTCCTTCGGGCAGGTGAGTTTAAGTAGATTGGACCCTGCAAACCACAGATTTAAAGAAGAGGCACGGGCTTTGTTTTCTTGTGTGTGTTGCGAAGAAAAAAGAGGTGTGGTGTAAAGGGAACAACCCGAAAAGCAGTTTACTTATGCACCCCATGGGCCCCATGGTGGTGGAAAGGAAGCAACCCTGAAAAAGGGAGCAACAAGAGAACCCTTTGGGTTGTTTTCTTTGGAGGGGACCCGGGCCTAGCCAGGCTAATGCGTTCAAGCAGTGTTCCAGGCCTACCATATGTATTTATCACTTGCCATTGTTGTTTTTTCTTGCTTTGGGGGGTTCCGTTCAACGTCGTGCGTTTGTGTTTTTGTGTGTTGTGGGACTCTCTTTCAACTCAGCCAATCAGGGGCAAGGCGACGCATTTGTTCAGGGGCAGGGGTCCCTCAAAGCTCCTTCAAAACCGGGGGCAGGCCATTGCAGGCCCTTTTCCGAATATCCATACTTTTCGTTGGAACTTCCCAAAGTGGCGATCCTTTCAATGGAAGCCACCCCTGAATTGATCAACATTTTCCTGGGAAAGCCCGTGACTGCAAACCCTCGAAGCCTCGAACCCAAGGTGGTTCAGCCCCGAAGGTCGAAGCGGATGGCTTTCTTGGGACATGCAGACACGCCCGGCTTCACTTGGGGTACCGGAACACAAATGGTGTGGAACCAACCGGAATCTTTGTTTTGTTTTCTTCCGGGTGAGGGGGCTCCCAATTGTTGGGGGCCAGTTGCGTTCAGGGCAGTTTATCACCAACGGTTCCACTTGCGCGGTCTACTTCTGTGTTGAAGCCAACTTAGTTGCTTGGAACAGCAACTTTGTCGAACATCCAATCCCCCCACCAACCACCCCACCAACCACCCCACCAACCACCCCACACCTTACAGGCGTGAGGAGGCCCGCGCTGTGGCGCGGCGCGCCATCCACGCCGGCGCCTTGTGGGCGGACGAGTGGCAGAGGTGCCCCATCTTTGTGAAAGGCCGGGGCCGCGCCGCGCGCGCGGCCGGGTTTTTTTTTCAGGCACGCGGCTCATGGCGCTCCGTCCCCCAGCTAGGTGCCCTTTCTGACCCTTTTCCTTTGGGTTTTTTTTGGCGTTCCACTACTGAAATAGACGTCCTGAAAAAAGTAACGGTACCCTTTTTTATTCTAGCCTCTCTACTGGAGGACCTAGTCAAACGCTTCCCTCCAAAGCCTAGCTGGTGTCTCAAAAAGGAGCCGTTCCGGAGCTCTCCCAAAGTTGCTTTGAAAGGAGCTGCGGAGCTGCCGGACCCGGGGAGCCTTTTCGGAGCCTTTTCGATCGGAGGTCTGTTTGGGGACCACGTATTTTTTTTAGGTGGCCTGGTCAACAGTAGATGGCACTGGTTTAGATGGGTGTTGTTCCATTTACCGCCATCTATGTTTCCAAAAGGCGACCTATGTTAGGCTGGTTCTCCAAACGTTTGCTTCTCAACGGGGAGCCTTTGGGAGCTACCGATCGGAGGTGCTAGGCACATGCTCGAAACCAGCCCCTCCCGGAAGTCCGGAGGCCTAACGGCCCGCGCCTGGTGGGCCAAGCAGGACTTCCCGTGGGCGTCGGACTTGGAGAAGGCCTATCCGGACATCAAGGCGAGGTCCGCGACGTCGCGCGGTTAGAAGGCGAGGGCCGCGTTCAGGTGATGTTTGTGTTTGGGTCGTTGGAGCTCCCTTTGGGGAGGTCCAAATAGATTTTGAGGCCAACCGTTGAACAAAAACACTTCTTCTCTGGCCTCCGGTTGGCCCACTGAACCGGTGCTCACGTATCTTTTGGGTTTGGATTGGTGAATTAGAAATTTGGATGTGCGCTCCTGGTTCTTGAGGGTAGATGTGAACTTGACAAAGCAAACCAATCAGAGGGAAGCTGAGGTTCAGCTTGTTTGCCTGATCTGACCCCTTGGTTTCTTATGTTTGGTGCAGTCATGGCCCCAAAAGGTGAGTGGCCAAGTCTGGTGCAACCCGAAGCCGAGTCAGGGCACCCCAACACGTTAGCCGTTGATTTCCAGGTAGTCTGCGCAACTCAGAGAGCCAAGGGTCCGTATCTGAAAAAAACCCGAAAAGGCGCACTCATTGGGGCGCGTTGGAACATGAGCACCTATTTAGGTCCACTTTAGTCCTGGGAGGGGGCTGCAACTTAGTGCTTTTGGCTGAGAACGTTAGGCAGTCCAGCCACTTTGCATGAAACCAATGATGCCTTGTTGATGGTACCATTTTTAGGGTAAGGAAGCCGGACTTATGATATTTTTGGAAGGCAACACCGAAGGGACTCCACACAGATTTGAGATTCCTTTTGTTGCACAAGGACTTTTTGCAAGATTCGTCGGATTCTAGGAGTCATGAGCTAAAATGTTCCAGTGTGTTCGCCCGTAGTTCAACCCCTCATGTTGCAAGATTGGCTGGGCTGTTCAACCGGTAACTGCAAGGAGGGCCATGTTAGGAGATCCCTTTTTGCAGAGCCAACTTGAACCTATTCTAGCCAGCAAACGATCCAAACACAATGCCAAGTCTATGGAAAGCAGCCGGTTTTGGAACAAGCAACTAGCGCTTTTTGAACGAAATGGCTTCTTTTCGACTTGGCTTCTTCGAATGGTCCCGGGCCCGAACAACTTGGCTCGAATCACCAGGCCGAGCTGGATGGTCTGCTGGGCCGTGATTTGTCGAGCTGGGCCCGGGTGGGTGACGACCCCTGGCCAGACGTTGGGAACGTTGGGATGGGCCAGGGGGACGGCCAGGCCGAGGCCCTCTAGTAGAAAAGGATCCCCGGGGAGGAGAGAGTCTTTGGGGGGAATCGGATTTGCAGGGTCAACTGGTTGTTAAGATGTTACAGTTTGTCCTGAAACCATTGGAGAGTTTTCCATCACGAGCCTTTTTTCCGCGTTCCCCCTCCAACCTACCAGTTAGCATTGACGGACTTCGCTTGCATACCCCTGCACCTCTTCGCACTTCTGGAAGGCCTCTTCCTTCATGTTTCTTCCTGCGTTGCCAGGGGTTTCCACTTGCCCGGCACATGGAAAGTGGCGACTTTTCTCAACGGGCGGTTCCGGTGCCGAGGGTTGGTCTTGCTCTTACTTCCCGAGTTATCCTGGATTTGTTGCTAGACCATTTTAGTGGCAGATCAAGATTCATTGGACCTTTTTAAGCGATTGTATCGGTAGATGACGAGTTCCTGGACCTTTTCAAGCGATTTTAGTGGTGGTTCAAGAAGTTCCTGGACGTTGTGAAGCGATTTTTAGTGGTAGATGAGAAGTACCTTTTGAAGCGATATTAGTGGACGCGATGTTAGTGGTAGATGAACAGTTCCTGGACTTTTTGTTGGCCAATGCACTCAGGAAGCGAGTGCTGATGCGAACATATACGTACAAGGGATGGTTTCAGATTGATTGTCCTCACAGATTTGCTGCGTGGACACTGGAATTGCATGCGCTGATGGCTCTGAGGAGCGAGCCACGCACGATGGCCGCTTGGAACTGCGGACTGCAAGTGAGGGAGGTGCCTTTCATATTATACAACTAGGTCCCTGTAGGGCCCTTGTACCCTTTGTTGCGGGAGGGTTCCCCTCGTAAAATAGACTACAGGCAAAAGTTGGTACCCTTGTTCCAACCTCTCTACTGGAGGATCTAGACAACCTAGGAACCCCCCAACCCCCTAAAGATGGAGTTGGGGGAGGGGGAGGGGGATGACCCTAGGAGATCTCCATTTCTGGTTCCATTGGGAAGACTAGAGAAATGGAATTGGGAAGACCCGGGCCCCCCCTCTCGGTAGGTGGGATGCCCAGGGTTGAGAAAGACCTCTAGTTCAAAGGGAGGAATGGATTGTCAAGCTCAGCGAGGCAAAGCAAAGCGGCTCACATCCTTTGCGGCATGTTGGTTCATTCTCATCGGAGTTCCTGGACTTTAAAACTTTTTTCTCTGAAGACCATTTCGGTGGCCAAGGAAAAGTTCGGGCTTTGTTTGGGCCATCTCGGGAAAGGGACCAAAGCTAAGGTTCCCAAAAAAATCAAGGGGGAACATTGTAAGGAACCCGAGCTCACACTATCTCACACTCAGGCAAACTAAATAGGGGTCACCAAAAGCAGGTGTCACCAACTAATCAGAACCATCGGTTGAACCACTTGACCTTCGATATGACTCACTTCAAAGTGAATATGCCTTTGGGGTCATGTTGAATAGGGGAAATCGGCTCTATTTTGAGGCTCTTCAAAAGCTTCCATTTGCTTAATCATATGATCCATTTTCCCTTGTTGCTTTCAAAGGGAACCTATGACTTGGACATACATGGCTGGTCCAAACCAGTGGTACAATTTTTGGTTGGTAGGTGCCAGTGCACCACCCATTTTAGAGCCTATTTTCGTGGTTGGATTGAATCGGATGTTCACTGCTGCGATTCTGGATTTGGAAAAAAGCCCAGTGCTTACTGGTTGGATTGGGACTGGGGGTGCGATTCGGATTTGGAAAAAGGCCCATGGCCCCATCTGTTCCCGGGACCCCGAAGTCAACGAAAGCACGGCTTGCGGCTCCCGACGTCCGCCGACTTCCGCGGGCTCGAAGCGATGCCCGGCGCCACGGCGAAGCCGGCCATGCCGGACGGGATCCCCGAGGAGCTCGCTGCTTGGCCTGTCACGGCTGGGCTTTGGGCTGGGCTTCGGGCTCCTGGCAATTTGCTTCTGGAATGGGGGGAGGGCTTGAAACCGCTCACCTCTTGAAAACACACAACTTTTTTCTCAACTTGTTGGGGGCAACATGGGCTATATGTCTGTAAAAGATGAGAACTTCCCCAGGGCGCAGGGAGTTTCAAGGGGTAAGTGTGGGGTCATTCCAACTGCCTTGCTGAGAGCCAGCAATACTCGAGTTGCACCATTGACTGCCCTCACCCTGTCTAGTGGTAAGCAAGCCGAGGATCCCCAACCGTCTGGAGTTGTGTCGTGGTAAGGAGATCAGCACCACCCGATTCCCTTCACCCGGAGCCCTTCAAACCTTCGGAGCCGTTCCTGCACTCTGCCCGCCTTTTTCAGAGACCCCATAGCTTTGGGGAACAAAGTCGGCAATTTCAGAGGTCAGGATGGTATCAAAGTCACAAGCTGGGATGCTTCCCCTTGAACCTACCAGTGGAATAGCGGGGCCAGCATCTTTTTTGCCAGGCCAACCCCAACCCAGCAAAACCTCCCAATAACTAAAAGGTACTCAGCTCTTCTGGCTCTCTCAAGATTCCTTGAGGTTTACCAAGGGGGGCTGAGGGGAGGTGCGGCTATCGCTTCCCTTGAAAATCAACAAGTTAGACTCAAGAAAAGCAAACAACTAAAAAGAAAAACGAAGACCGCCCCAAACCCAGGCATGATTTTCTGGACTTGAATTAGGCAAGAATGGGTCTGTCTTGAAATAGGGGGAACCCCAGAAAAATGTGCAGTCTCCTCTTGTTTTTCCCCTTCAGAGACCAGCCAAAAAGGGCACGAAGAGTCTCCATGACCCCTAGCAAAATTTTGGGTAATGACCAACCAGTTTTACAGGTTCATGGAGATTTTAGGCACACCCAGAGGGAGGCTAGGCCCCCAGTAGTGCCCTTTTACAGACTTTTTTGGGGGAGGGTTCCCCTACTAAAATAGACTACAGACAACAGTTGGTACCCTTCTTCTAACCTCTCTACTGGAGGACCTGGATGGCTTCATTTTCGCCTTGGGGCAATCACTGGGCACAACTTGACGCCCTCGCTGGCCGCATCCGAGCCCCATGAAACAACTCAGAAAATGGAAGACAGCCCCAAACTCAGGTAACTATATTTTCCCGGACTTTAAACAAAGCAAAAGGCAAACATGGATACAGCTCGGTTTTCCGCCTCCAGGGCCCCAGCGGCGTCGGTCTTTCTCTGAGGGTTTTTGTTTACACCCTGGCATTACACCCTTAAACGGTGCAAACTAGCACGTCTTTATTCGATCATGCGCCTTTATTGGGGTCAATACCCGGGTGCATTCCCGGGGTGTAATACCCCCCCCCCCCCCCAAAAAAAAAAAAAAGAGAAAGCACAAGCAACAGCAAAAACCCTTCGATGTTCGGATCCGAGGCGCTGCAGATCAGCGAGGCGGTGCAGCATGCCACCGCGCAGGTCTTCGGCGAGTTGGCCGCGGCCTGGGAGCGGCGGCAGCAGGAGCTGAACGACCGCATTGTGCAGGAGACGCTCGGCCGCACGGAAACGTTGGAATGGAGCCAAGTGGGTTGTTTTTGTTTGTTTTTTTCTCCTTTTCTATTCATATATATATATATATGTATATAATGTTTTTGTTTGGTGTTTTTGTTGCTATTTTGGCTGTGTGTTGTTTGTTGTTTGTTCATTGCGTATTTTTTTGTTTGAACATGTTTGCTGTTCCGATCATTTTTCTGGTTTTGGGGGCTGCACAAAACACTCAGTTTTTTTGCTACCGTGCCAAGGGTTGTAAAGTCGGCGCAGCACGGAATGGATGAGTCTGCCCGAGAAAAGCGTGGCTTTCACTTGAGGGTATCCATTCTGCGTCGTTTTTTTTGCGGGGGAAAGGTACAGCCCAGGTATGGGTGGTTTGGGTGTTTTCTTTCTTTTTTTCAGTTGCTACTTCGGTATCCTTTTTGGGTGGTTTTTAAAGGAGGAACACGACAATCACAAGTTCGGGCGGAAACCACATGTCATTTTCCGAACCCCTGTGCCCATTTTGTGGCTCGGCAGGTCTCCTTTGGAGTGACCAATCGCCCCGTTGAACGGACCTTTTGTGGCAACAAATGGGTGTGTCTCTGTTTGAGGATAGGGAAACCAAAAAGAAAGCTTACATTTTTCTAGGGGTCGATTCCCCATTCTTTTCAACCATCGTTCTTTTCAAAACCCTCCATTTTCCCCTGCATTTCCTGAGGTTTTCTAGAAAGAAGGATCCCTGGAAAGAATGGAAATGGAAGGTACCCCTCGATTTTTTGGAGGTCCCCCCCCCAAAAAAAAAGGCGACGAGCCACCCAACGCGGCAGGGGCATTAGACCACCAGCCTGGACGGGTTGCTCGGGCCGGTTGCAACAGGCACCTCGCGCCGAGGATTCAGAATCTCAGGAAGGGCGGCCTACAGCCGCTGGCTAGGAGCGACAAGCCCAAGGCACGAGTCGAAATCAGGTTGACCCCCATACAAATCAACCCCCCAGATTGGTAGGGGTCCCACCAAGGTGTCATATTAGGGTATCTAGGGTTTGAGTCTGCAGCCAAGAATGGGTGGCTTCGCTTTTTGGTTTTCGTGTGGAGTCATCACGTTAGGGAAACCGCCCTAATGAACTGGGGTTGACTAACATGGGCTCAACAGCTCGCCTTTTTGGCTCAAGTCTATTCATCACGCCAGCGGCGAGGTGTTAAGCCGAGCGCCGGGCAGGAGCAGTGTACAAGGCTTTGCTTTCCAAAGGCAAGTCTTGGGCCAATCTCTCTTTGACGGCTGGCAGCTCGAGCCTTTGGAACCCTTTGGGGGGTGAGTGTGATGTAAGGGGCAACTCGCTTCCTGACTTCCTGGACTGGAATAACAACCCCAGCTTGTGAGGAGCAGTTTGCGTATGCGTCTTGTGCCGAGTTTCCCTCACCGTGGCTTTGGGGAGCAATGCTGGACACGCGTGTCCGACCCAGCTGCCGCGAGTTTTTTTTTGTTGTCGTTTTGCCCCAGATGGTTCGATCCCGCAGTTCTCATCCTTTCGACCCGTCCAGTGCGGCAGGACGGTCGCATTTGACCCTACCTCAACGTGGTCGCATTTGACCCTACCTCACGATGAGGTAGGGTCAAATGTGACCGGAGGTAGGGTCGCATGTGACCGGGGCCCCTGTTCCGTTGTAACAACCATGCAACTGAAGAGCCACTTTTTGACAGTGAGGTAGGGTCAAATGTGACCGGTGCGTTTCGCGTGGCCCTGCCGTGGAATTGGAACGCAGCATTCGATGTATCTAACAGATCCAGTAGGGACAAAGGTGACCGGAGGTAGGGTCGTATGTGACCGGGGCCCCTGTTCCGTCGTAAAAAACGAGCAACTCAAGGGCCCCCTTTTGAGAGTGAGGTTGGATCAAATGTGACCGGAGCCTTTTGTTTTGTTATGGAAGGATGATCGCGTATGTTAGTTGTGTTGTTGGAGGCAATGTGCATGGGCATTCTTGGTTGTTGTCTTGTAATGTTGTGGCCCGTGCGTGCCGACCAGGTGGTGGTGGCTTTTTGCGTGCTCATTTTAGTTCTCCCGCGTTGGCCACCGCGCAGAAACCCTAAAAATGATGTGGTGACTACCTGAAGAAGTGACAGCAAACCAGAAAACCCTAAAGTGATGTGGTGACTGTAACTGAAGTGACAACGCAGCAGAAACCCTAAAAGTGATGTGGTAACTACCTGTGGAAGTGACAGCTAAACCCTAAACCCTAGAGTGATGTGGTGACTACACCTGAAGTGACAACGCAGCAGAAACCCTAAAAGTGATGTGGTAACTACCTGAAGAAGTGACAGCTAAACCCCAAACCCTACATTGATGTGGTGACTATACCTGAAGTGACAACGCAGCAGAAACCCTAAAAGTGATGTGGTAACTACCTGAAGAAGTGACAGCTAAACCCTAAACCCTAGAGTGATGTGGTGACTATAACTGAAGTGACAACGCAGCAGAAACCCTAAAAGTGATGTGGTAACTACCTGAAGAAGTGACAGCTAAACCCTAAACCCTAGAGTGATGTGGTGACTACACCTGAAGTGACAACGCAGCAGAAACCCTAAAAGTGATGTGGTAACTACCTGAAGAAGTGACAGCTAAACCCTACACCCTAGAGTGATGTGGTGACTATACCTGAAGTGACAGCGCAGCAAAACCCTAAAAGTGATGTGGTGACTACCTGAAGAAGCGACACCGCAGCAGAAACCCTAAAGTGATGTGGTAACTGCCTAAAGGAGTGGCAGCGCACCAGAAACCCTAAAGTGATGTGGTGACTACTTCAAGAAGTGACAGCGCAGCAGCAACCCTAAAGTGATGTGGTGACTACCTAAAGAAGTGACAGCAAACCAGAAAACCCTAAAGTGATGTGGTGACTATAACTGAAGTGACAACGCAGCAGAAACCCTAAAAGTGATGTGGTAACTACCTGAAGAAGTGACAGCTAAACCCTAAACCCTAGAGTGATGTGGTGACTACCCTGAAGTGACAGCGCAGCAGAAACCCTAAAAGTGATGTGGTAACTACCTGAAGAAGTGACAGCTAAACCCTAACCCTAGAGTGATGTGGTGACTATACCTGAAGTGCAGCGCAGCAGAAACCCTAAAAGTGATGTGGTAACTACCTGAAGAAGCGACAGCGCAGCAGAAACCCTAAAGTGATGTGGTAACTACCTGAGGAAGTGACAGCTAAACCCTAAACCCTAGAGTGATGTGGTCACTACACCTGAAGTGACAACGCAGCAGAAACCCTAAAAGTGATGTGGTAACTACCTGAAGAAGTGACAGCTAAACCCTAAACCCTAGAGTGATGTGGTGACTATACCTGAAGTGACAACGCAGCAGAAACACTAAAAGTGATGCGGTAACTACCTGAAGAAGTGACAGCTAAACCCTAAACCCTAGAGTGATGTGGTGACTATAACTGAAGTGACAACGCAGCAGAAACCCTAAAAGTGATGTGGTGACTACTTCAAGAAGTGACAGCGCAGCAGCAACCCTAAAGTGATGTGGTGACTACCTAAAGAAGTGACAGCAAACCAGAGAACCCTAAAGTGATGTGGTGACTATAACTGAAGTGACAACGCAGCAGAAACCCTAAAAGTGATGTGGTAACTACCTGAAGAAGTGACAGCTAAACCCTAAACCCTAGAGTGATGTGGTGACTATACCTGAAGTGACAGCACAGCAGAAACCCTAAAAGTGATGTGGTAACTACCTGAAGAAGTGACAGCTAAACCCTAAACCCTAGAGTGATGTGGTGACTATACCTGAAGTGACAGCGCAGCAGAAACCCTAAAAGTGATGTGGTAACTACCTGAAGAAGCGACAGCGCAGCAGAAACCCTAAAGTGATGTGGTAACTACCTGAGGAAGTGACAGCTAAACCCTAAACCCTAGAGTGATGTGGTGACTACACCTGAAGTGACAACGCAGCAGAAACCCTAAAAGTGATGTGGTAACTACCTGAAGAAGTGACAGCTAAACCCTAAACCCTAGAGTGATGTGGTGACTATACCTGAAGTGACAACGCAGCAGAAACCCTAAAAGTGATGCGGTAACTACCTGAAGAAGTGACAGCTAAACCCTAAACCCTAGAGTGATGTGGTGACTATAACTGAAGTGACAACGCAGCAGAAACCCTAAAAGTGATGTGGTGACTACTTCAAGAAGTGACAGCGCAGCAGCAACCCTAAAGTGATGTGGTGACTACCTAAAGAAGTGGCAGCAAACCAGAGAACCCCAAAGTGATGTGGTGACTAGAACTGAAGTGACAACGCAGCAGAAACCCTAAAAGTGATGTGGTAACTACCTGAAGAAGTGACAGCTAAACCCTAAACCCTAGAGTGATGTGGTGACTATACCTGAAGTGACAGCACAGCAGAAACCCTAAAAGTGATGTGGTAACTACCTGAAGAAGCGACAGCGCAGCAGAAACCCTAAAGTGATGTGGTAACTGCCTAAAGGAGTGACAGCGCACCAGAAACCCTAAAGTGATGTGGTGACTACCTCAAGAAGTGACAGCAAGCCAGAAAGCCCTAAAGTGATGTGGTGACTAACTAAAGAAGTGACAGCAAACCAGAAAGCCCTAAAGTGATGTGATGACTATACCTGAAAGCGATGTAAAAGCCTCAAGACCTAAAGTGACGCATTTGGCAAGAAACCGTCAGGTAGGGTACGGTCAAATGCGACCGGTGCGTTTCGCGTGGCCCTGCCGTGGAATTGGAGCTTGATGCTGCCATCTCGTTGCCAGCTGGCAATGTTGCTTGAACGCAAAGTAGGGTAGGGTCGCTTGTGGCCGGTGCGTTTCGCGTGGCCCTGCCGTGGAATTGGAACATAGTATTGCCACTTGGCACTGATTTTAAGCCCAAAGTAGGGTAGGGTCAAATGTGACCGGTGCGTTTCGCGTGGCCATGTCGTGGAATTGGAGCTTGATGCTGCCATTTCTTTGCCAGTTGGCCATGTTGCTTGAGCCCAACGTAGGGTAGGGTCAAATGTGACCGGTGCGTTTCGCGTGGCCCTGCCGTGGAATTGGAACATAGTACTACCATTTGGCACTGATTTTTGAGCCCAAAGTAGGGTAGGGTCAAATGTGACCGGCGCGTTTCGCGTGGCCATGTCGTGGAATTGGAGCTTTACGCTGCCATGTTGGCATGGTTTTTGAAGCCAAAGTAGGGTAGGGTCAAATGTGACCGGCGGGTAGGGTCGTATGCGACCGTCCTCCCGTCCAGTGCCGTTCACTCACGTTTCCAATGCCGACATACACGTTGGTTCCTATTTTAATCTTTTGGATTAAGTCATGGCCACAAAGCCTTTTATTTCTGGTCGTTTGGGCAAGTTTGGGCAAGTAAGTCAATCCTTCTCACTGGAAAGACACCCGTGCGGATTCAGATCTTTGCCAAAGGAGAGCCAGCCACAAATTAATTCTTCGGAGCGGATCAACAAGCCCGCGCTATGAATAGGGGGGTTGTTCCACTCCAAAAGTGATGAATCCGAATTGGAATGCGAACACTACCTATTGATCAACCAGGGGGTTGTTATTCCCAGGTTCTGACAATTTGCTGAATGCTGACCCCGGATTGATAAACCTTGTGGATTCTTACAGGGAGGACGTTTCCCCAACAAAAGCAATGATTCCCCTTACATCCCCCTTTTTTACGACACTTCCAGCCAAATGCTCAACAAAACCAAAAACGGTGGGCTTTCTTTCTGCAGGGTTGTCTCCGGCTGACAATCTGTAGCCCTTGCCAGTCTAGCAGCGGCTCGCTGGTCGGCAAGTGGTCTGGCATGGATGTGGACAAGCTCCTCCAGGAGTCGGAGGACAAGGACAGCTGAGAAATTGATGTCGGATTCCTACCCCTTGGGATGATTGCTCCTGGGTTGGATCTCTAGACTTCAACTTTTTGGTGGAAATCAAGGGGTTATCCATTGAACCCAGGGGGTCTCGCAAGAATTTGTTGTCTGGATTTGTGCTTTGGGGATTTGACTTCTTGGTTCTTGTAGGGGGCAAATGGGCAACCCTTCCTAAACTACCACACCACCGCCAATCATAACTTCCATTTGCTCAAGAATACTTTGTATTTTGCCCTCTTAGTTTTACCAGGGAATCGATCTGCGGAAAAAAAAAAAAACATGGAAGATAACCTTTACGAGTCTCACTTGCCCAAGGGACCCAGAAACAAAAGGTTAACCTTTTGGGACCTTTACTAAAACTGGAGAAATCAGGGAAACCAGAAGGTCAAATGGTCGATTCGCTTTGGGCAACTAAGCAGTCCAATTTAGTGGATTCCCTCAAGCGGCTGGGTTTTGGAAGTGGACTCGGTGGGCTCAAGAGTTGGTTGGCTTCCGCCCTCAGCGCTGCAGCGTGCTTGAGAGACCCCTTTGTGGCTGCCGCGGGGTTCTTGGACAAAAGGTTTTCCTGGTGGATTTTATATCCTATTTGCTTTTGGGTTAGTGCCACACAGATATGGAGGTGAATTTTGACTGGGGACATTTTTGTGGACGGCATTTGGAGATGAATGTTCATGTTCACCCCATGTTTGAGGGTACAAGTATATAGCCATATGAGTCCAGAAAACGTATATATTTCTACTTGCAAGGGTATCCCCAACTTTTGGGATCACGTGGGTCGCATGGGGCTTGCCAAAAGGTCAACCTTGAGTCTCCATGACCCTTTAAACATGTGGTCATTACCCAAAATAAAGGGGTCCTGGACCCATGTTTGAAGGGTCATGGAGACTCCAGGAAACGGCTTTTCTACCCCGCCCGTTTGGGGGCGTTGCGTTTTCGTGCGTGTTTCTTCCGGCCGATACGCCTCCGGATCCTCTCGGGCCTGGAGACTTCCAAGGCTTCCATTGGCTGACATTTGTGTTTTTTCCGTTTTGATTATTTTAAATTTAGTTCAAACACTTAATTAAACACTTACGAAAACCATACCAGAAAAACATGGTTCAACCTGGCCCCGCAAAAGTACAATCCAAAGGTACGCTTGGAGTTTGGATGATTAAAGGGAACGATTTCACTGCTCGGCAGATTTTTTGTTTTTAAAAACAAAAATCTTCAGGGGGCGAAAGAGCAAACAATCAGCCAGTAGAAGAACTCCCGGAAGGAGCCCGCGAACACTCGGGCGGTTCGGACATGAGGGTTCTAAGAAACGGGCATCGCCAGTTTTCCGGGGGCAATCAAGACTTGGGCTGCTTGCTTGGATCTTTCCATGTTCCCAACTCGGCAAACAGCTCAGCTCCTTTTTGCAGCTGAAGGAACAAACCCTTCCAGAAGCCAGGAACTCCACCGGTTTGGGTAGATGTGGGTCTTGGGTGGCTCGCCCATTTTTTTTTGGGAGGCTGCTCTTGTAAAAAAGTGGCCGGGAGGCCGAAAGGAGCACCAAAAAAGTAATGTTGGGTCCCATTCCTATTGAACAAAACCCGCGGCAGGCCAACTTTTGCGGCTTTGCGCATATGGAGGCAGCCATGCTGAAGCTTGGCCTGAAACATCCATCCTAGTTGCTGTAGTGGAGATCCGGCCGTGTGTTTTGAGGGGGGGGGCAGGGTTAGGCAAGGGAACCCCACAAAAACAAGGCACAGTTGTTGTCGTTTCTTTTTCATTCTTTTTGCGGCGGAAAGGCAAGGGTTCAGCTAACCCCGAATTGTTGGTTTGGATTGGCGGTGTGGGGGATTTGAACCCTTGGTTCTTAAATGGGAAACCACCCAACCTCCACACCTCCAAACCGCCAATCCAAACCCATTCGAGGGAAGCTGCAGGGTTTCCCTCAAGGTGCCTGAGTTGTTTTTGGCCCATCGCCGGGCTGTTGAACAAATTGGCGAGTTGTGTTCAAACCATTTTGATCTTTTGGTATGGGAAAGGTTCGTCCTATTTTCATGCACCGCCCGCACCAGAAAATGTGTTTCCTCTTTTTGGAGCTTGTTTTTGACTCACCTGTCACCAATTTGTTTGGGTCAATTCTAAATGGGTGTGTGTGTGTTGTGTTTTTTCGGGGTACTTGTTGGGTCGCGTGAAAGGGAATACCACCCATTTGTGTGGCTACCCCATGTTGAGGCAAAGTTGGTTTCCTCGCTTGGCGATTTTGCTGGGTTCTGAGAAGGATCCCCCTTCTTGGGAGGCACTGACCTCCGGCCTTTTGGCCCGGTTGTTCCGTGCCTGCAGTCCACATTGCACCCTTCAAGGGTCACCGGTTTGGATTTCGGTTTCCTCTGGCCATTCAAGGCACTGTTTGAAAGACCAACCTGTGCAAGCAAGAAGCTAGACCTGCTTTTGCCCAATCCACTCAGGTCCTTTTGAGCAACTGACTTGACTTCTATTGCGTTGGATCTTTAGACTTTAACTTTTTGGTTGAAATCAAGTTGGGTTTTCCACTAAACCCAAAAAAAGTTAAACTTTTGGGGGTCTCGCCAGCAACCAAGCTGAGGAAGCGCATCAACAAGAAGAAGCGGCCCAAACGCCAATCCGCATCGGGCTCGCGACCGCGGGGCACACCTGCAAATGGTGAGGCCAGGAGAGAGCATGCCAACCGGCCCGGCAACTTCTCTAGCTTCTCCTGGCCCTGCAGTAGTCCCCTTTCTCACCCCTTTTTTTCGTAGGGAGGTTCCACTACTAAAATGCACTACAGAAAAAATAGGGTACCAACTTATTCTATCCTCAAACTACTGGAGGACCTAGTCTCCGAAGATTTGTGTTGTGTTGGCAAGGCCTGAAAGTGAGGGCCCACAAGGCTAGCATCACTTTGACCAAGTTGAAGCGAGTTTCCGCCATGGTCTGGTGATGGGGAGGAAATCTACCAAGTCCTCTTCCTGCGTGATGCTTAGAGATTTGGTTTTTTGAGGATAGCCAACATTGGGGAGTGATGGGTCGTGACGTTGCGACCAAAGAGTTCCAAGGGTTTCATTACCCAATTTTCTTTACCTCGCATTCTTCTAAAAGATCCGTATTTCTTGGCTGGGCTTTGCGCAACCTTCTCTTGCGCGAATGAGGGAGGGGCACGTCTAGTGCTGTTTCATGGGCAACTGTAGTGTTTGAAAGCAGCTGGCTTTCCCAGTTGCTGCGTGGCTCTCTTGGTGGGCTGCGCTGCTGGCATCCCAAACGGTGTCGATTTCTTACAGGCTCACTCTGGAACCCAAAAACTGTGTTCAAGGGTCCCATCTCTACGAGATTTCTTTAAGTAACCATTATTGTGGTTTTCTCTTGTTTGTTGTGCCTAAAAGCACTTTCCATAGAGACCTTTCTTGAAACGGTATGACTATGACTGGTACGCCTTTGAAGAGCTTACCAGGCTGTTGTGCATTTTGCCAAGGGATGTTAGGACTTTAACTTTTGCCAACTAGTAGGTTTTCCAATCAAACTACTAGAAGTTAAAAACTTCTAGTAGGGCTTCGCAGAAAGCAACCCGTCCCATTATTAGGGGGATGTTTCGGGTGTTCCCTCCAAAAGTGAATCCCCACTAAAAGGAGACACCCCCTATGAATAAACCAGAGGTGGGGCATTTCCTTTGTTTCTGTCTTTATTGGAGGATTTCCCTGCAGAATCAACCAGGGGTTTCTAAATCTGGGATTGACATTACGCCTTTGAGTCCCCGGAAAAAAAATCCACCCACCCCGCGGGTTCCGGCACGGGGCGCGCCTCGCCAGGCGCGCGGGGCCAAGACGGCCCCGGAGCTGGAACCGCCCCTCATCGAGCCGCTGAGCCGGCGGGCTTCGGCCGCGCGGCGCGAAACCTTCAGACCTGTGTCTTCCATTTTTTGTTTTGTTTTTCCCCCCCTTGTTGGTTGAACAGGGACCGGTTTCACTACTGGAAATATGTTTTTTTTTGCAGGGAGGCGGTGGTGATCTCCAAAGGTCCTACTGTGGGCGGACAAAATCCTCTTAGGCACCACCTAAGAAACCCTGGAATGATTCTTCACCTGTAAATACCAACAAACAATGGTTTCAACCATGGTCTAGGTCCCCCAGCTAGGTGCCCTTTCTTTTCCCTTTGTTGGGTGGGAGGGTTCCCCTACTGAAATCGACTACAGAAAAAAAGGGTACCCTTATTCCGCGAAACCTTCATACTGTGGGCAGTTGCGAAAGCGCTTCTCGCACCACCTAAGAAACCCCGGAATCTTAAAGGAACCGGGTCCCGAAACAACCATTTTTTCATAGGGGCGGGTGTCCCTGGGTTTAGTGGCTTCCATTTGCTGAAATGATGTTTTTGTGTTCCCCCCTTTTGGTTGAAAAGGGAATCGGTTTCACTACTGGAAATATGTTTATTTGTTCCAGGAGGCTGTGGCGGACGAAATCCTCTTAGGTACCTCTTTGAAGCCATCCATGGGAATCCATGGTCTGTTGGTTACCGGGAATCATTTCAGGGTTGCTTAAGGTGGTGCAGGATTTCGTCCATCCACAGTAGGACCATTGTAGGTCAGTTTGGTTGAATCGAAGGGTGGCCTTTTTTTTTCATGCGCATTGCCTGGTTCCTAACCCACTGGTATGAAAAGGGTTTCGTGGGTGGGTGCGAAATGCAGAAATCGCGCCGCTTGGAAACCATGTGAAACCATGGCGTTGGTTGGTATTTACAGGAGAATCATTTTTGCCAGGGTTCTGAGGTGGTGCAAACGGAGTTCGTCCATCCCTGGCTGGTGACCTTTGTAAGGTTTGGTTGAAGATAGATGGCAGTGGTTCCAATCATTTTATCACTGCCATCTATTCTCCCAAAAGGACACCTGTGCTCAGAGTTGCAAGGGGCGGTTGGGTTTCCCCTGTTTCCATGTTTCCAAACCGGAGGGTGTGCTAGGTGGCTATAAAAATGCATGCACACAAGCGTTTTCATACCCCAGGGGCTAGCGC